GAAGGATTACCCAAAGCTTTAGGATGCTGTATCCACATGGGAGACCTGGAAGAAGCTCCTGGTTCCTTACTTCAGATTAGCTCAGCTATAGCTGTTGTGGCCATTTGGGGAATAAATCAGCAAAAAGAAAATCAATCAATCAATCTCTCTTCCCTTCTCTCTGTAAATCTGACTTTCCAATAAAAATAATTCTTTAAAAACAACCCTGAGCCTCCTTAGCCATCACCTGCATGCGGAGAAGTCTGTCATTAGCATGTTGTAAAGCACTGTGTTTCTATCACTAGTGAACACCTTTGCTCTTCCCGGGAATAGATTTGAAAAAGTGGTTCTCACTTTGACATAGTTTTGTCCCCTAGAGGACATCAGGTCACAAGGGGGAGATCTTTGTCACAACTGGGGGAGGCAAAAATAGAAGGACACATTGATAGCTGGTGAGCAGAGGCCAGTCCTGGGCTGCGATGCATCCCACAGTTCTTGCAGCCTAGGAGAGAGGAAGCCATAACCCAGCATGAAGGTGCCTGGTACACCTTGAAGAGGGTCCCAAAAGTTCTAGTTGAGGATACAATGAACTCCCTCTACACAGCCGGAACCTTAGTCAATGTTATGAAAAAGGTCAGCAAAGGAGTTACACTTGTCGTTTTCTAAAAATCACAGAACAAAATTGCAGCCACTGCAAGATCAAAATGGGGACTTAAGAAGCACCCAATCTGGTGTCTCCCTTCTGACCAAGTAATGCTCCTTCTGGGGAAGGTGCTGCCCAGTGTCCCAACATGACAGCATGCCGGGCAAAGACAAGTGCCGTTCTGAAAGGTAGAAGGGAATTGGTTAAGGGGCCAAAGTCTGGCGCCCCTACCAGCCTGCCTGGCTGTGCACCTCAGCTGCACGGTCAGCGAATCCTGCAAACCTGCACTCGGTAGGTGACGGCGCAAGTCCCCGGATTCCTGTCACCCATGTGGGAGACCCAGAACGAACTACCCACTCTGAGCTCTGGCCTGGCTCCGCTCCAGTCGCTGAGGTCATTTGGGGAGTGACCCAGTAGATGGAAGGAATCGCTTCTCATCTTTTCAAATGTAAAAAAATTTGTGTTTTTTTTTAAGTGAAATACTTTTGCAACCTTACTAATATGCAGTTCTTAATACCCTCATGTCTCGCTTGCAAATTCTAGCTTGGCACCTGATTCCAACTTGCTGCTCATGTGCGCCTTGAAGACAGCTGAGATGGTTCAAGTCACTGGATGAGAGGCCTGAGTGAAGTTTCTGGCTCATGAAGCTGGCAAAGCCCTGCCCTGTATTTGAAGGACAAAACAAAAGTTTGTAGCTTTCTCTCATCCCCTGTCTCTCTGCCTTCTCTGTCTCCCAAATAAGTAAATAAACAATTTTCTTTAAAATGGTTAATCTATCACTATGAAGATTTTCAACTTTCCCTTCTACCGACATATCAATATCAGAGATTTTCTCAAACGGACTGAAGTATTTCCATTGTCAAAAGCAAAACCATGGAGCGAATTAAGATGGCGGAATAGGGTAAAGACACATTTAAACAGATGGAGAAATATTAGCCAGTGTGAAGCAGAGAGGGCACATTCCAGGAAATAGGAGAGAATAGAACAGCAGAGGGGTACCTGGACACTGACAGACACAAGAAAGCACAACAGTGTGGTATTGCAGTGACGGATATCCCAGTGGTATTCAGCAAGTGGTGATCCAAATCACACCTACAGTCAGAGCTCCAATAGCAACCAAGTGGGAAGGGACATCTACCGGGAGCTCAGGAGGTGAACACAAAGAACTGCCCGTCCTTCTGGACTGTGTGATTTGACCAGGAGCAGAGAGAGAGTGGTAGGCCAGAGACTGGCAGTGCAAGAACAGGGAGGATTTCACAGCCCAGTGGGTCCCCTAGAGCCATATCAGGCACTAATTTGTTTAAGGAGGCAAGGGCTATGGACAGCACTGTGCATACACTGAGCTGGGAGTGAACTCATTTCTGACTCAGTGAACTGCAACAACATGGTATCCTACACATTCCACCCAAGACAGGTCTGAGTAGCCTTCAGACCTGACAACCAGTAGATCAAAAACTCTAGTGGTGGCACATCAGGTGCCATTTTGTACAGTGTGGCAAAAGTTTCAAGACTGCAGGGACAACAGTGAACTGTGCATCTGCTAAGCTTGCGAGAACTCACTGAGCTCAGTGCATTGCACTGGTCCCACAGGAAAATAATACTGACTACAGCATCATATGGGTCAAAATAAGTTCACATGATCCTCAGACCTAATGGCCAACAGGTTCCGGCAAGATCAGCACCAACAACAACCTAGCTATATGGAACACCTGGTATCTCCATAATCCTGGGACCTGCTCCAACCGGAAGTAGGAGAAAGGTTGTACAAACAATGGTGCAGCCTCAGCCAGGTATCACAGGAGGTGGAGAGTGGTCAGCCAGGAGCTGGGGCTAAGAAGATCATGGTGGAAATCTAACTTAAGAACCCAGACCTGGAACTGGCTGGAGGAAGTGGCATAACTGACTGCAAACAAAGAGCCATGTACCAACTGCAATCAGTAAAATCGAACTGTAGGCCTGTGGGTGACAGAGCTTAGAAACCTGCCCCAAGGAGAAGAATCTGATAACCAAAAGTACAATGATCAAGAGCAAAAGAAGAGATAAAGGCACAATGAATATTACTGAAGACTTCCCTGCAAAGGAGCAAAACCCTTTGCCAACCTCAGAGTTCACTGATGAAGACAGCAAGAAAATGGGGGATACAGAATTCAAAACACTTGTTATAAAGCTTCTTATCAACAATGAGAAGCACATAAAGCAGGCATTCAAGGGATTCAAGGGATATGTAACACTAGAAATGAATCAAATGGAAGCTCATATATCAAAAATGAAGACCACAGTGGAGCAAATCAAACGTATAGTGGAGAGTCTCCAAAATAGGATGAAGGAGGCAGAAGAAGGAATCTCAAAATTAGAAGATATTTCCTGTCACAAGGAGGAAACAAACATAAACCTGGAAGCAGAGCTGGATCAGGCCAGAAAAAGTATTCAAGAATTGAAAGACACTATTAAAAGACCAAATATAAGAGTTACAGGAGGCCCAGAAGGTGCAGAAAGAGAAGCTGGCTTTACAAATATATTTAATGAAATAAGGAGATAATTTCCTAATCTAAAGAAAGAATTGGGAAACAACATCCAGGAAGGGCACAGAACTCTCAACAGGCTTGACCAAAAGTGATCTTCACCAAGACATATGATAACCAAGCTCTCTTCAATTGAACATAAGGAAAAGATCTTAAATGTGTACATGAAAAAAATCAATTGACGTATAAAGGAATGCCAATTAAACTCACAGGAAACTCTACAGGCTAGAAGAGAATGGAGCAACATATTCTAGATTCTAAAAGCAAAAAATTGTTGTCCCAGGATAACATATCCAGCAGAAGCTTTCCTTTGTCTCTGAAAATGAAATAAAATTCTTCCACAGTAAAGTTAAAAGAATTTGCTTCGGGCCTAGTGGTTAAGGTCCTCGCTCTGCATCCCGGGATCCCATATGAGTGCCTGTTCTAATCCCAGCAGCCCCACTTCCCATCCAGCTCCCTGCTTGTGACCTGGGAAAGCAGTCGAGGAGGGCCCAAAGCCTTGGGATCCTGCACCTGTGTGACAGACCCGAAGAGCTCCTGGCTCCCAGCCTCGGATCGACACAGTACCGGCTATTGCAGTCACTTGGGGAGTGAACGATCAGACAGAAGACGTTCCTCTCTGTCTCTCCTCCTCTCTGTAAATAATCTTTTAAAAGAAAAAAATAAAAAAGAATTTGCCTCTTTCAAACCTGCCCTACAAAGAATACTTAAGGATGTTCTCTTGACAGAGAAAAGGAATAGCGCCCACCAAAACCAAAGGTAAATGCGAAGAACAACCTCGTAAAATAACAGAAGACTAAATCAATGAACAACCCATTGCTAAAATGACAGAATCAAATTACCACCCATTTATATAACCCTGAATGTAAATGGCTAAAACTCAAACAGTATAGATTGATAGACTGGATTAAACAAACAAAACCCATCTTTTTGTTGCCTACCGGAGACACATTTCACCAACAAAAATCAGGGAAAACTATCTCATGGATTTTGATTTTTTGTTATGGTTAATTTCATCTCTTCAAAAACACTTTCTTCTGATTAAATTCTTCAGTGACTCATAGATCATACAGTAGCAACATTTTCTTCCAGAAGGATCTTGATTTTCTTTTTCATTTCTTCAGCAACACATTAATCATTCAGCAGCATGTTATTTAACTTCATAGTGTTATTAATTTCTTTCCTTCCTGTTGATTTTGTTTTGTGTTTTTCATTTAAGGAGATGTATAGCAACTGTATAATGGAGACTATCGTATCTAGCAGCATATAACTTAACTTCATGGCATTGTAAATGTCTAGTTTTCTCCCTGTTTTGGTTTTCTATTGTGGATTTTCATTTAAGGGGATGTACAATAACTACGTGGTGGGGACTGTCTTGTCTAGATGCGGGATACAATGCAGTATGCATCTCTGCTTCTAGACAAAGATGGACTCCCAATGAAACAGTTTACTATATCAACAACGGGATGCTAGACTCTCCGCCATTGTCCATGACCTCAATGATGGACATACGGCTGTGTATGAAGAACTATATTATAGTAATTACGTAGGGAAACTCAGTGAGGGAGGGAGGGAATTGGGGAGGGGTTAAGGGAAATCCCAGGGCCTACGGAACTGTATCATAAAATAATAAAAAGTAAAAAAAAAAAAAAAAGCAAAAGCACCATGACATCCTAATAAATGACATTTTTCCTTTTGAAAGTAAGCAATACAAAATAAAATGTAATTATTGCTGAAAACCAAATAAGACATGACACTGGCCCTCCGGAGACCACTAGGATTCCACCTGTCATCAGAAATCCCGAGCAGGCTGACATTCTGAGGCACAGGGGGAGCAGTCACAAGGCCACACTCACCCTTGATGATGGACTCGGCGGCCGACAGATCCCGCCTGTAGGTCACCTGAGGGACAGACAAGGGCTTGTTAGGTTTAACCTGAGCGGGAAGGAGCAAGACAGCTTAGATAGTGGCCCCCCGGGGAAACCTTCAGTGTTAAAGAAACCATGAAGATGATGCAGACCAACTCTAGATTAGACCAGCATAGCAAACTCAGAATAAAATATATTCTAAGTCTACAAATGGCTGAGGATCCATTTTTCAAATTCTGAAGAAAGAGGATATGGCAGCAGTGCCTGATGTCTTATTAACATAATTAACGTATCAGAGTGAAAGAGAAGATGATAGTATTTCAACAGGAAGGTAAGCAGTACTGTTTTACAGTCAGGCATGTACTGGGAAGAGAAGCCAGCAGGGGAAAAAGCCCCTGTATTAAAATTTACCTGGCTGGGCCCAGCACAATCACTCAGTGGCTAAATCCTACCTTCTAAGTCCAGATCCCATATGTTCATGTCCTAGCTGCTCCACTTCCCATCCAGCTCCCTGTCTGTGACCTGGGAAAGCAGTTAAGGACAACCCAAAACCTTAGGACCGCATGGTGACCCTGCATGGGTAACCCTGAGGAGACTCCTGGTTCCTGGCTTTGCTTTGGCTCAGCTCCAGCCATTGTGGCAAATTGGGGAGTGAACCAGCAGGCAAAAGGTCTTTCTCTTTGTTTCTCCTCTCTATAAACCTGCCTTTCCAATAAAAAATAGACAAAATTCTTAAATTGAAAAAATCAGCAGGCTGCACTCTTGGTGATATTGTAAGAGTTTGCAAAGACCCATCCACTTTAAATAGACATCCGTCTGAAGATATCTTTACCACACATATGGTTCACTTTTTTTTATTTTTATTTATTTTTATTGGAAAGGCAGATATATAGAGAGAAGAGACAGAGAGGAGGAATTTCCATCTGCTGGTTCACTCCCCAAGCAGCGGCAATGGCTGGAGCTGAACCAATCCAAAGCCAGGAGCCTCTTCATGGTCTCCCACATGGGTGCAGGGTCCTGAGACTTTGGGCCGTCCTTGACTGCTTTCCCAGGCGACAAGCATGGAGCTGGATGGGAAGCAGGGCAGCCGGGATTAGAACCAGTGCCCATAGAGGATCCTGGCACATTCAAGGTGAGGACTTTAGCCACTAGGCTATCACACTGGGCCCAGGTTTACCTTTTAAGGCTTTTCTTTACATGGCTCTGGCAGATAGTGTGGACAGGGGCCCAGCATGTGCCCCAGAACAGCGATGATCTTTCCTTTATCTGCACCTTGCCCTGCAGTCTGTCACTGTGTGAATCTGTTCCGTGGCAGACACGTCTCCGACCTAGCTGTTGAGCCCTGGTGGAGAGCTTGGAAGTGCAGTGTGTTACAGGACCAGGCCTCCTACACTGCACAACTGAAAGATGGAGAACACAAGGCAGGCACCAAAAAGGCCTCTGATATCTTAGCAGCTCTTGTGCCAAGTACCCAGATAACGCCCAAAAGCCCATTTGGAGCGATTTTCTCCAAATTATCATCAGACTTGGACTGCCTTACTGCAGCGTAGCTCTGGACTGGATGTGAATGGAAACTGTTGTTCAGGTGAACCAGTATACTTTCCCCCAAAGTAGACCCATCCCCTGCTGTACTTTGAAATTACCAAGTGTATCATGGATTGAGCTAGATCTCACCCTCCAGAATTAAAACAGCAACTAAGAGGCTTGGCCATTCAACACATCTATTAAAGTCAAATAGGACATGACATCCTACCTGAAAAATAAGCACATGCCAACTAAACCTAGGAACTCAGTATGGTAAGTTTCAACTTATAAGACTATTCTATTTCAAGTTGAACATCATTGATCTGAAAAGCCCAAAATCTTTGATCTGGGTCCAGCGCGGTGGCCTAGCAGCTAAAGTCCTTGCCTCGAACGCACCAGGATCCTCTATGGGCACAATTTCTAATCCTGGCAGCCCCGCTTCCCACCCAGCTCCCTGCTTGTGGCCTGGGAAAGCATTCGAGGACAGCCCAAAATCTTGGCACCCTGCACCCATGTAGGAGACCCGGGAGGAAGTTCCTGGTTCCTGACTTTAGATCCACACAGCTCCGGTCGTTGGGGTCACTTGGGGAGTGAATCATCGGAAGGAAGATCTTTCTCTCTGTCTCTCCATCTCTCTGTATGTCTGACTTTGCAATAAAAATAAAATAAATATTTTAAAAAAATCTTGGACCTTCTGAGCACTGACATAGTGCACAATAGATTTCAGGTCTTGGGACATTCATGATTTTGAACTTTTAGATCACAGATATTAAACTTGCGAAATCCAGAAACATTCCAAAATCTCAAAAACTTTGAAATCTGAAACAATTCTGGTATGACACATTTGAATACCAGATATTTAATGTATATCTGGAAAAACTAAAGATTTATATATATATATATATATACATATAGGTATTTACATATAAAAATACATATTAAAGGTCTATGTCATGCATTTTAATGAACTTTATTGAACCATTCAATGCAACAAGTACTTACAAGTACTATGTTCTGTGCTCTAAGTGCTAGGATTAGAGCAACGCAATGTTTAAACAAAGACCCCCTCAAAAAAAGAAGTAAAAATCCCACATCAGGATGCAGGCTTGAGTTCCATCTGCTGCTTCTAGTCCAGCTCCTTGTTACATGCTCCTGGGAAGGTGTTGGAGGAAGGCCTGACCACTGCGGCCCTTGCCACGCACATGGGAGATCTGAATATAGTCCTTGACTCCAGGCTTCCACCCGGCTGGGCCCTGGTCATTGCAGTAGGCTTGGGGAGTGAAGCAACAGATGAATAACTGCTCTTTCTCACTAGCTCCCCTTCCTCAGGCTCCCCTCTTTGTTGCTCCGATTTTGAAACAATTGGAGGGAAGGAGGGAGGGAAGGAGGGAGGGAAGGAGGGAGGGAGGGAGGGAAGGAGGGAGGGAAGGAGGGAGGGAAGGAGGGAGGGAGGGAGGGAAGGAGGGAGGGAAGGAGGGAGGGAGGGAGGGAGGAAGGAAGGAAGGAGGGAAGGAGGAAGGGAGGAAAAAGGAGAGGTGAAGAGAAGAGGGGAGGGGAGGAGAGGGGAAGGGAGGAGAGGAGAGGTGAGGGGAAGGGAGGAAGCGGGGAGAGGAGAGGTGAGGATCAAAATGTAATGAGTTGCTGCCTCCTCTTCCACAGCTCTTAGAGTGCTTCACAAGCACAACGAAAGCTCAAAACACCCAGAGTGACACCCCGACAATGTCAAAGTAAGGGCAGAGAACTTGTCCAAAGCAGTGAAACACCCCAGAATGTACACTTTTGGACTTGGCCTTCAAATTAGGTCTAGCAAACAGAAGAAGCTGTACAGGGATATCAGACAGGATCTTCAACAGAATACCCAACTGATCATTGCCAAAATTCCCATAACTGATGTTTATAACACCATCCAGTCACATAAATATAAAAGATACAAAGTGAATAAAACATTTGTTTGCCAGGTTAATGATTCTAAGATATTCTTAAATGAGTCATAATACAAGTTTTCTCGACCAAACAGCATTCCAAGGATGTAGACATTCTGGGACTCTGAATCTGGACTCTCTAAGTACCTCTGAGCGGTCTTAGCATACAGCATGGTTCATCACAGGGCTGGGCAAAAGACCCCGTCAACCCATGCAGCTTTCTGCTTTCAGTCCAATGAGAAAATATGCTTGTGAACTTTCAGCAACTTAGAACTGGTGTAAGTAGGGAATATCCAGACGCTATGGGTGGGTCAGAAGCAGCAACCTCAATTTCAGAATCATGAATGACCTTCCGACTCTGTTTCAGAATGCACTGTCCAGCACCCATCTGTCTCATGAAACACGCATCCATACGTACCCCCAGGATAACTCCTTTCACCCCTAGAGTTGAGCCCTGACATAAGAAAGAGTCCATTTCCCAGTGAGTGGTAGAGAGTGGGTCAGCCAAGGTCTCCCACAAGGTCAGAACTGGGCACACTTACTTTCTACCTGTGACACTGGGGAGAAAGGGAAAGTGGCCATGATGGGAAGCACAGATGCAGCTTCAAGGCCACTGGGCGAACAGGATCAGAACCTACAGAGAGAACCCAAGGGAAAGAGGAAAGCTGAATCAGATGCAATTATCTCAAAGCGAGTTGTCTTCAGGCAAGGCCAGCATGTGATACTATTCTTGGATAGCTTCATAAACACGGTGGGACTTCTCGACTCCTGTTTGACTGCCATGTCTTTGTCACAAGTGTGTGCAGAGCGGGGCTAGGGCCAGTTCCATCCTGCTTACCTTCCAGAGATCAGGTGATCCCTCCACGAGCTTGGCTTTTGTGTCACAATACTTGAGGGCCAGTTGCAAGCACTCAGTGCCAAAGTCCAAGTCATACTCGCTACACTGTTTTGGAAACACAAGCAAACATGCCAAAGAGTTAACAAGCTAAAAACACAATTTGGAAAACAACTAAGCCTTTGAATTCATATTCGACTGTAAATAGAAAATCAAGGAAGACCCAGGGGAAAAAAAACTCATACACTATCACTATCCACAACATTGGAAATTCAAGTCCCTTACAGCATGGCAATTGTATGTCACAGTTCTCTCGCTCATTTGAACATTTAAAAGATGAACATATCTTTAAGAGACTTGCACTTCTTTACTGAGTATGGAAGCAACAGTCTTTCACTGTGAGAACAAAGTGCAGTGGTCTCTTCCAGACTCAGGAAAATGGCAGTAACCCCTTGTCGGTGGGACCATCCACACGGGTGCGCAAGTGTGTAAGTCGGGCAAATAATATTCACAGAGTGCTCTGAGCTCTGTATCAGCTACTTATAAGGTAGTGCTGTGTCCAGAAGGAACCAAGGGCTGAGGGGGAGGCGGACTTGGAACCAAGGCGTTTGCAGCACTAGAGGAATGTCTGGAGGGAACCCTGTGGATAAATCACTAGTTTATATGAGAGCATCTATCAGAGAAAAGAACCTCTGATAACAGTGTAAAGACTGGATAAAACCTGGAGGGGATGCCAAGAATGAAAGAATGAACAAAACTTGAAGGGGATGCTGCTAAGGTGGAAGATGCCAGGCACTGTGCAACGTAACACACACGTATTTAAGGAGGATGTTAAGGAGGCAAGGCGTGAATGAGGCATTTAGCATTCTTTGCTGAAATGTTTTCACACTTGAAGCAGCAAATATGTAACTACAGTGATCTGCACAATTAGCAGAAAAGATAACAGGATTTTAAAGAGTTCAAACGGGACCAAAAGAATCTCAGTTTGCATGCTACTCTGTTTAAATATGTCACAGGACACCTTTCCTAGATAATTTCACTTTTTTTAAAAAAGATTTATTTACTTTTATTGAAAAGGCAGATGTACAGAGAAGAGGAGAGACAGAGAGGAAGATCTTCTGTCCGATGGTTCACTCCCCAAGAGGCTGCGATGACTGGTGCTATGCTGATCCAAAGCCAGGAGCCAGGAGACTCTTTCCAGGTTTGCCACATGGGTGCTCTGGGCCATCCTCGACTGCTTTCCCAGGCCACAAGCAGGGAGCTGGATGGGAAGTAGAGCTGCCGGGATTAGAACCGGCACCCATATGGGATCCCAGCGCATTCAGCTCTATCTGTTGAGGCCATTTTTTGAGAGAACTAGTAGATAAAAGATCTTTCTCTCTGTCTCTCCTTTTCTCCATAGATCTGATCTGCCTTTCCAATAAAAATAAATAAATCTTTAAAAAGCAGGAGGAGGAGGGAGAGGAGGAGGAGGAGGAAGGAGGAACAGAATCCCGTGCAGATCTCAGAAGAAACTGACTGTGGGAAGGAAGACTGCAGGACAGCACTGTCATTTAGAATTTTTATACGTTTGCCAAGAGCACATCCAAAAGTTGACCAAAAAAAAAAAAAAGGAATTGATGTAAAGTCTATTTTGTTCCTGAGAATTTCTTGAACTCCATGCAAAGGTTGTTTATAATACACAGTTTTTACAAACTTTAAAATTCTTATTCCTTATTTTCATTTCATTTGGAAGAATGATACCTGCACCCAGAAAGAGATCTTCCATGTACTGATTGAGCTGCCTCCGATGGTCAGGACTGCAGCAGGCCAAGGCCAGGCCCTGGGACCCAACCCGTACCTCCTACGGAGACGGCAGGGACCCACGCAGCTGAGCCGCCTGGTGCTGCCCCCAGGACTGGCACCAGCAGGAAGCGTAAGTCGGAAATGGAGCCAGGACATGAACTCAGGTGCTTCCATGTGGAATGTGGACATGCCCAGTTACATCTTAATCACTGTGCCAAATGCCTATTCGGCCATCAACATTTTGAAAACTGTTGTACACACTGTAATTTTATTTCTTCTTGCATTAAAATCACTGTACATAATGTACTATGAAGCTAAAACATTCCTCAGAATAAATGTTATGTCAGAGTTAGAATTCTATTTCAAATTATGCATGTTTTTTAAAAAAAAATCAGCTAGTGTCCTGGTGATAAGTTATAGAACATTTAAAATCTAAATACAGCAATTTGTAAAGTATTATTATTATAAAATATTAAATCTTGCCATAATTATGATAAGCCCAGGGTATGACTCACATGTCAGACGATTCTACCACATAACTTTTTCTAACAGTAATTGAAAGAACATACAAACTGCACATTCTATGGGAGAGCAGCAAAGGATGATCCAAGCCCTTGGGGGCCCTGCACCCATGTGGGAGACTGAGATGGAATTTGTATCCTGTGTCCAGCACGGTCCAGCAATGGTCATTGCCACCCACTGCAGAATGAACCAGTAGGTGGGAAACACCTCCCTCTGTCTCTCACTCAAGCTCTGCCTTTCCCATAAAACCTCATTGTGTGTCCTTAGGCAGGTTTTCTTTAGCTAATGGAAGCATATACAAACTGGTGGCTATGAGGACCCACAAGCGCTGCCAGGCTCCAGCATGGATCCTGGAGTCAGAAAGACAGGGTGGCAGCCGCACAGCTTCCAGAGAGCAAAGAAAACTGCTCGCTCTGTCCCTCAGCTCCTTTCCCCTTCAGGAGGGGAGGGCGGCAGGCACCGCAGAGGAGACGCATGACCGTACACATGAGGGGTCTGGAACAGAATCCAGCTTCCAGCAAGCCCTTAATAAAGCCAGAGTAATTACTTAACTTCTTAAGTGTCTCAACTGGGACTTGAAAAGTGCTAGAAACCTAGCTGTCATGCCTGATGGTTACTTTCTCTGTAAGGAGATTGTGTGCAACTCTGACAAGGCACCCCGTCTTCACCTTTCCCCTCCCTTGCCCACTTTCTCTCCCTGTCTCACAAGTGGATGGATACCCTTTGCATCACTGAGTGATGCTCCTATTGCAAGCCTGTGTGATCACATCGGCTTCATCCATTCATTCACTGACCACTGCGGCTTATACTACATCTTGGCTAGTGCAAATTATTCTTCATTTTCATGTTATTGGAACATCATTGAAGATATTTCTATGAAGGCCTATTTAATTTCCTCTGGACAAACACCTAGAAGCTGGATTGCTGGATCCCATGGTAGTCCTACTTGAATTTTTTTTCAGTGATTGATTTATTTATTTGAAAGGCAGAGTGATACACACAAACAGGGTTGGAGGAGAGAGAACGAGAGAAAGATCCACCTGCTGGTTTGTTCTCCAAATGCCACACTGGCTGCGGCTGGACCAGGCCTGGCCAAGGGGCTGGGAACACTATCCTGCACTTCCATGCTCGTGGCAGGGTTTCAAGGACTTGGATCATCCTCTGCTGCTTTCCCAGGAAGGGAGCTGGATTGGAAGTAGAGTGGCAGAACCTTGAACCAGGACTTCTATGCCAGGCAGAAACACACCTCCCTGTGTCACAATGCTGGCCCCTATTCCCAAGTTCTCATCTTTTGAGGACCCTTTGTCCTATGTGTTAAAATAACTGCCACAATTTACGCTCCCACCAAGAGAACACAAGCGTTGTCCCTTTGTTCACTTTGTTGTCACTCATCTTATCCCAGCAAAGATGAGGTGGCTTGCATCTTTACTTGAACAACTCGCTTTTGTAATCAATCTGGAACCCTAACTGGGCATCCCTGTAGGACTCCTTCAGAATGCTGACTTTCCATGTCACAGCCTCAGTGGGAACCTGCAACCCCTCCTCTGACCTTTCCCCCAACCCTAAATAAGCTGCTTGGCCTCACAGAGGCTCCAACCCTGAGAAACCTCCATTTATTCTTGCCTACAGAATGTCCATGTTCCAATTGCTCCTCTTACAACAACAGACCATCACACATGACAGAGCTCTAGATTACTGGCAACCCCTGCTTCCTTGCTTCCTTTCTTTATAAAACACCACCACACATCTATGATAGAACACGCTTGCTTCTTGGTTTCTAGTTCAAATCTCTGGCCACCGTACATGCACATGACCTACAGACTTAAATGCCCCTACAATCCTCTGTTATAAAAAAAATGGAACCCTGCCTTCTACACCTTGGTCTTCTCTGAAGGCAACCATTGAGCTTGCTTTGATTCTAGGATTTATTTTCATGTACAACAGAATCTTCAGGGAGTAACATGTATATACCACATCCCACGGCATGCAGCAGTCTGCTTCATGTCCTGCTCACATTGTCATGGGCTGTATGGGACAACTACACATCAAATGATGGCAGGTCTGATCCTCAGCCTGCAGCCACCTACCCCAGCCTGCCTTCCTCATGGCAACAGCAGCAGCAGGCAAGGAGCAGTGTCCCTGGCACAGATCCACCCACATCACAGCTAGTAGGCACATCCAAAGCAGGTCAGGCAGCCAAATCCATAATGACGAATGTGTCAAGGAGGGCTCGGTGGGAGAACAGGAGGGGACTACTGAATTAGAGGTGCGGAGACCTAGAGCTACCACAGACCCATTCTCTACCACATTTTATCTCCAAATACCATAACTGTGATGCTGTCTGCCACTCTATGGTTCTTTCTCGGCCATTACATACCAAAAAGAACCCTGTCCTCTCGCCTCCCAGGTTTGTTGCAATGCACACTCCTACTTCCTCACTCTTGCAATCGCCTAGTTTTGGCTAATGACATGCTGAATGTTTACATCACTGGCTGTGTAAACACTACCCATGACTAGGTCATTTATTAAAATTCCCTTCCTGAGCCACTCTTTGTTTTCCCAGGAATTAGAGTTCTCTTTGGCTTTATGCGGTTAGATTCTTACATGCTTATAACTCACGTAACACAAAACACTGAGCTGCTTACATAAATATGCTCAAGATGAGCAGATACATATGGCATTACTCTGATTTCATCTCCCTGAAACAGCCACGAAAGGGGTCCCCTGCCCTTTCCCAGGAGGGTTGGGTGCCTTCCCTTGCTGGTCACACCCCCATCATCCAAAAGCTCACTCTCCCTGTC